AGTTTAGCCACGGATCATAATGAATTTCATGAACCCATGAACTTATAATTGATCTGGTGGTTTTTGCATGAACGTAAAGGTAACATGGTATACCACGTGATATCAACGTGACCTCGTTTATCAACGTTACATCATTTATCAACGTTATACAGCATACACCTTTAACATCGTATATCAACGTTTAATTGTATATCAACGTTATATAGCATACACTTTTAATATCGTATGTTAACGTGACATCGTATATCAACGTTATACAGCATACACCTTTAACATCGTATATCAACGTTACATCATTTTTCAACGTTACATCATTTATAAACGTAATATAGCATACACTTTTAACATCATATTTTAACGTGACATCGTATATACGTTATACAGCATAAACTTTAATATCGTATATCAACTTGACATTGCATATTAACGTTATATAGCATACACCTCTAAATCGTTTATCAACATAATATCGTATATCAACATAATATCGTATATCAACATTATATCGTTTATCAACATAATATATCGTATATAAACATTATGTCGTTTATCAACATAATATATTGCATGTTAATATAATAGCGTATATAAACATGTATATCAACATGATATATCGTATGTCAACATAATAGCGTATATCAACATGATATATCATATATTAACATAATGTCGTATACACGCATCACATCGTTTATTAGCAGAACATCGTACGTTGTATTGACAGCCTTATCGTCAATAGCATTCTGTTTCCAATGGATGGCTGATTTTCCCCGATATACATGCCGATATCAATCAGCACTTAAAATCAAGAATCAAGAATTGTAACGTACAGAGTGAGTGAGTGAGTGAGTTGGGTTTAACGCCGCTTTTAACATTATTCCAGTTATATCGCGGCGTGTCAGCTTAATGTGGGAGGAAAGCCCAAAGTGATGCAGGTCTCAGACGTTTACCACTTCGGTGAAACCCACGAGCACGGGTATGGTGCTGACAAACCTAGAAACATAATCGGGGCGAACCGGGCTTCGAACCCACAATCAAAGTTTTCTGACGTGCCCAAGGGACGCAACTCTGCACAGCGAGTAACGTACAGAACACCCTTATACGTAATGTACATTATATATAGAGATATTAAATATTGTTTTCATTCACAGTACGTAAAGATTTCTATAATGTATAAATATCATGATGTGGCTGGCAGCGTACACTTAGTGTACACTGTATTGATAAGTCACAATAGTTACAGTAAAGATTTCTATAATGTATATATATCATGATGTGGCTGGCAGCGTACACTTAGTGTACACTGTATTGATAAGTCACAATAGTTACAGTAAAGATTTCTATAATGTATATATATCATGATGTGGCTGGCAGCGTACACTTAGTGTACACTGTATTGATAAGTCACAATAGTTACAGTAAAGATTTCTATAATGTATATATATCATGATGTGGCTGGCAGCGTACACTTAGTGTACACTGTATTGATAAGTCACAATAGTTACAGTAAAGATTTCTATAATGTATATATATCATGATGTGGCTGGCAGCGTACACTTAGTGTACACTGTATTGATAAGTCACAATAGTTACAGTAAAGATTTCTATAATGTATATATATCATGATGTGGCTGGCAGCGTACACTTAGTGTACCCTGTATTGATAAGTCACAATAGTTACAGTAAAGATTTAACGCCATTTCTAGACGTTGTGTACAATGTGGGTTATTTTAATAGACATATCAGAGATAACTTTTGTAACAGATTTTGCTCGCATTGCCTTTCTTCTCAGTGTATTGATAGCAGCCTTATAAGATCCATTAGGACTACTCGAAGGGAGGAAGGAGTCCACGACCTGAACGATGGGGATGTATGAGTAGCGTCTTTAGTTCTGAACGGCCCGTGTTTGAGGGGAGAAATACCTCGCAGGGAACTTGCACCTTTAATATTGCACATTAACACGATCTAATGATCTGCCCACCATTAGCAGTAATATATTTATTTATTTTACCTAGGCAAGTCTAGATTAAACTAAACCAAGTCTAGTTTCCTTGATTCCACATATAAAAACAGCAGAAGAGGAAAGGTTCTTTCGAAGAACAAAATATAATTATCTTAAAGAGATGTTTTCACTGACTATGTGTAAGTCTTGTGTACGTGATGCCATCATATCTCTACTGTAACCAGGCAACACGTGGTTCCTTGTAATCACAGGTATCGTGGTGCTTATCTACAGCGCATGTTCACAGAGTCGGCTAAATGTTGCTTGCCTGCAATATCGATATCATGCCGCGTAGCAAGTCAATTTCAACGTCAATGTGAAAGTATACAACAGTCACGATTATATACCGAAACAGATTCCACTCCGCGTAAAAGGTAAAATAGCAGTGACAATGACATGAATGGATCCCTGAATATGAGTGATGACACCAGGTGTCGCGATAGGGCAAGCATGTCCTGCCAACCGGAAGTACCCGCCATTCACACAATTTCCATCATGTGCACCTCCTGTTTGGTATTTCACTCTTCCACACAACTCTTCGACATCAGTTCATTCACAGTTTTAGCCTGGCCACCCCTTGCTTCAGAGATCTAGCCCCTCCCAGTATCATGTGTGTTTTGTAACATGAGCTGTCTATCTCAGCAGAATCCCACTACTGTTCTCTGCGACATATTTATCTGGGATGGTTTCCCTCACCCCCTGTAGACGCGGGGGTCACGCTGCCGCCACCCTGGTCACGCCTAGCCATGCTCCACGGCTGTATTGAAAGAAAGATCCATGTATGTGTATAATTCTATCCTAATAGGCCAGTCTAGACATGTGGACAGTAAAGACTCCAGTCTTTTAAAGGGACGTGTTCTTATTATTTACGTAATCTAGAAATTATTATTTAAATTAATAATTATTGCCTTAGAGACTTGTGCAAGTCTAGGTCACGCCGTGATATAAACGAGGTTCTGTTCACACGTCCGTATACCCACAACTCACTGAAATATCAGAATATCTGCTGCTCAGGATAGCCGTGTTAGCTCTCCCGGTGAAACTAGGGTAAAGTCTGCTTAAATGGACACCCAGCAACTACAACCACTACTACTACCACTACACATACCACAACCACCTTTACTACTACCACTACGACGACGACGACTACCACGGAGTAGCATAGTAAATATGGCGTGCACCTATCGCACCAATTTGGAAATTCTCCCCTGTGTGTAGTGACACCCCTACAGATCCCGCTGTTTGCACTGGCACACGATCTTCTGCACCCATGTGCATCACACGTGACCGACACGTGACTACGGCACGGCCTGTCTTGGGAAAAGCCAGCAAAACACGACACGCTTCCATGTCGATAAACATCCCTGGTTAGGATACGCTTGTACCGTGATTCGTTGTGATTTGCAAGGTAGGCTGCGTTTCAATTTCATTCACTGTACCTAGTCAATCCCTATGTATTGTCTTGCACTGTATCTAGTCGTTCACTGTATCTAGTCAATAATAATTTGCATGGACAAATGTGTGGCACCCTTGTTAGGAAAGCCTTTGGCTGCCACCGTCGGGAAGATTCCTATTGTAGATTTTATACAAAGTATGTGATAACATATGTATCGCATGTCATGGCATTATTTCCTCCATCATCGCCCCCTATCACACCGACATCCGTGAGTCGTGGCTCCCGTCAAGAGTCCCCCCGATAACGCTGGATCCCCCACGTTGAAACATGTAGCTCCGAAACTACTGGAGCTTGTGTTTAGTGTCAGCTGTTGATATACAGCTGTATATTTTATCCATAATATTTAAAGATTGTCTTTATTAGTTTCTGAGTTTTTTCCAACTTGTATAATGTCAAGGTGGGTTCTGTTTTATAGAAGGGTGTGTGTTTATGCTGCCATGAATCACGTGTGCCTGCTGTGTGTCGGGTCGTGGTAGATGTGTCAGGCTCTCTCATCTCCAATATGACAGAATACACACCTGACCAGTCTCAGAGACGGTAGAGCAAACATGTTTTGATTAAAATAATTAATAGTAATATATTTTCAATTGAAGATAGTTCAACGCAAAAACATGAACAACTCGCATTCTGGTAGAAAACATAAAGATACCAAAATTCCCAGAGTTCCTGAAGTGAGACTAGGCTCTCGGGTACTTGAAGTCCTAGCAAGCTTGATTTAAGACAAACAAACCCCAAATTGTTTGACTATAAACTCAAAATTGTACGATGTTTATCAATCTAGCAGCTGGTTATTAACCAAAGACAGGCACTGTCTCAGTCTGATACAAGTCTGTCTCAAGGTCTAGACATAGGCCGAAGGTGAACACCAGGTGTTGGACCATAGTGAGTGAGTGAGAGAGAGAGAGAGAGAGAGAGAGAGAGAGAGAGAGAGAGAGAGAGATATTCTTTTACTGAAAGCCCAGGCAAGTCTAGTTTCCTTGAAAACAGCAGAAGAGGGAAGGTCCTTTTAAAGAAAAAAATACAACTATTTTAAAGAAATGTTTTCAAAGACTAAGTGTTAGTCTATACCCTTTTTTAACTACATCAATACAATATCAATTGCGAAAAACTTCATAGAAAGTTTTGTGTGAATCAGCATTTGTTTCCGAATTCGACTTGGTTCGATTCCAAGTCCTCGGCAATATTCATAACATAAAGAATCAACAGTAAAACAGTAGGATGGGCGTTTAGAAAATAAACAGCCCCATTATGAAACATGTGACACATTTAAGTCAGCTATAAGTAGCGCGTCCTCCAGCGCGACCAGTCGCTGTGCAAGTGCCCGAGGTGGCTGGTCTTGAATCATGTAACAAACACATACCATAGCAACCAAACACATTCCATAGCAACCAAACAAGTAATTCCTGCCACATAAACACCATATCTCCAGGCTTCACGCCACAGTTCCACGTGAAGCTATGAAATCAGTCTGTGATCACTGCTGGAATGCGGCTATTGGTATTCTATGACAGTATAAACAAATATGCCATGTGTGTGTTTCAGTCCAGAAGCGTTTTCCGGGACTGCCATTTATCGGCGCAATGCGTTCTGGGACATACATTGTGAACGAGCCCCGCGACGGCGCTGACAACGGAGTAGTCACCACCAGCAAGAAGCCCGACGACGACGACCAGGTGTGTTTGACGAAGATGGAGGCGGATGCAGAGGAAGGGGTCGTTGCCTCTCCTGAGATCGCGGCTCTTCAGAAGCGGAAGACTTGCAAGAAAAATACAGTTTACAGGTAGGACGTTTTGCGTTGATTGGGGTGAGATGAAAGTGGGAGGCCTGGTTCCGCTATATTGATTTGTTTGTTTGTTTGTTGTTTAACGCCGAACTCAGCAATATTCTAGCTATATGACGGCGGTCTGTAAATAATCGAATCTGGACCAGACAATCCAGTGATTGACACCGTGGTCATCGATGTACGCAATAGGGATGTGACAACAACCGATCAATCAAAAAGCAGACATGTGTTCTATCTGTAACTTTAAAACAATAATGGTTGAGCTCCAACATCCATTAGATTTCGCGTGTTATGTCTGTTATAGAGACTATACGTTCATACACAGAACACTTCCTGATCATTCTATGATGAATGATTATCCTGTTCAGTGGAACTGACAATGACAGATTAAATTCAAATGCCAATGACCCATCAGTGTGCACGCATAGATAACCTAATCATTTGTCCGTCCCGAGTCAGTCTGCCACTAGACCAACAGCACGGGGCAGTGCTGGCGTACGGAGGAAGGACAGTAATACAGATCTCACTAAGATCATATCCCTCGGTGTTTAGCACGATACAGTATATGCTCAGATACTTTAGTTCAATGCAACCACTCACGGAGGCAGGTTTAGGGCGTAATGCCTGCATGGCTTCTCCGAGGATGGAGACACTGCTGAACCAACTGACTACAGTGACTTGTACTTGTGAGGGCAAGATAGCCCTGACAGCCGCCAGCGAAACGTTCAGAAAGCTAATAACATGTAGTTTTTGATAGACATTTAGAAGTTGGAAGAACATGAATACATGACACTTTTGTGGATAGCAAGGTCTCGTCACGACCTTTCATCAGGACGAAGGAGTAAGAAGTAGCTCTGAAACGTCGTGACAAAGAAAAAAAGAAGTTGATATCCATGAAAAGTGTCATGTATTAATAAAAAGCATTCAAGCAAATGATGTAAACAATGTTGTTTTATGGCCAAAGCACCAAACATGGATTTGAATATAGCGTTCGACCTACATTTAGATAAGGGCCTGTATAAACCTCTGCCGAACATAATACACGTTTGTCACTTTTTTTAAGATGGCCACATTATTCGTATAAATCGAGGTTCATATTAACAATTAAATCTCGCTTGTATTGTAAAAAACAAATTTGAAGATCCGCGTTAGAATAAGTCTTTAGCAATCCATGCTTGTCGTAAGAGGTGACTAACGGGATCGGCTGGTCAGGCTCCCTGACTTAGTTGATCCATGTCATCTTATCCCAAATGCGTAGATCGGTGCTCATGATGTCAATCACTAGATTGTCTTGTCAAGACTCGATTATTTACAGGCCGACGACATATGGCTGGAATATTGTTGTGTGCGGCGTTAAACAACGAACAAACAAACAAACAAAAACGTATGGTGATAATACACAGACGCAAGTGGAACCTTTCGTTAAATTATCTTGTTAAGACGTTTAATTGAACATATCCCGATAGGAACACGTTAACCCATACGGCCTTCATACCTATAAATACCCATTAACGCACACTGTTTATTTTGGGAATAGTATTCGTGTGAAGTTGTCAAGACCTGCGACCCGGAGGACCCGGGTTCGATTCCCCACATGGGTACAATGTGTGAAGCCCATTTCTGGTGTCCCCCGCCGTGATATTGCTGGAATATTGCTAAAAGCGGCGTCAAACAATACTCACTCACTCAAGACCAGCGTGACGAACTATGACTAATCCCCGTTACACTTACAGACTCGACCAGTGACACGGGGGGTAGGTTTGGCTAGGGCACCTCGCCATCGCACGGACCATACACAATTCATTAGACAAGGAATGTTTATAAAAAGAGACAGAGCGACATTCCACGCGTTGTCATGACAAACACAATACACGCACGTGCGCGTCACGCGCCAGCTGCAGTTATGCACTATGACAGGAATATTATCATGCATCAACATGCATACCTGCATACCATGATGCATATGTGTACACGAGGGATTCGTCTACCTCTCGGCGAGCAGGTCATCATGGTAAGGGAACATTCCTCCACTATCTCGGGTGTAGAAACTTGGTGGTTGTCCAGGTTTGATCCCACATGAATACAATCTGGGAAACCTGTTCCGAATATCCCAGTGACGACAAAACTGCTGCTCAAGCCCTGCTACTAATACGTGAGACTTGGTCTTGCAAAAACTTGAGATGTTTCGGAATCAAATCAAGCTGTGTTGTTCCCTGCTGGTTTTATACTGGCTGGAAAATGCTTTGAATGTTGATGAAATGCATTTGAATAACTGATTAGCCTATTAAATGACACGCGATTTACATATCTTCAATTAAACCAAAAAATAAGCAATGTATTACACAATTACAGAAAACATTGCTTCATCAGTTCCCAAGTACACAACCGCCATGACATCGCATTCTGAAGAAACGCTGATGTATTTCATGCAGGACTAAATGTCTTCAAAATTTCTTTAAAATCTATTTTACTACTCGTGAAGATCCGGGTTTGAATAGGTCTTCAGCAACCCATGCATGCCGTAAGTGGCGACTATGCTTGTCGTAAGAGACGACTAACGGGATCGGGTGGTCAGGCTCACTGACTTGTTTAATGCATGACATCGTATTTCAATGGCGAGGACCGATGCTCATGATGTCAATCACTGGATTATTAGGTCCCGACTCGATTATATATAGACCGCCGTCATATAGATGGAATTGTGCTGAGTGCGGCATTAAACAACAAACACACAAACAAACTAATACGACATATTTGTAAGATACTCATTACATCCTGAGGTGGGAGTGTGTGTGTTGGTTTGGGGGGGGGGGGGGGAGAGGAGAGAGAATCAAAGTGTTTCTGTAGGTCACTTGGAAAGCCTGACATTCTTAAAATAATTCATGTTTTTGATAGATTTTCTCCACTAGGTCACGTTCGTGCATCACCAAGCAATGTGTGCATATCTTACTCCCTGAAACAAACTTCAGCTAAATAGCATGCTGTTCGTGAGTATCGTTGTAATCCAGTTCTATCCGTTAAAAGCATGGCGCTTCCAGATGGCATTTCTTGCAATTGCAGAAATCCCTCGATTTACTTCTGACTGTTTTGAAGTCCTGTATGGCGGATTAACTCGCTGTTTAGGCCGAGCGTCATTTAACCCCTGCAGCATGCGCCAGCTGAGGCACCGGATGCACGTGTGTTGGCAACCACATGGTACAAAGCCTTTCCGGAATTCTCGGAAATAATAATCGGATATTGTTCTTGATGCGGCATTTCTCCAGCTTTCATCAAGGAAACAACATGGCCATGAAATAACGTCAAGTGGTGTTGCATTTAAATTATAACACTTTGTAGAGTTATTTGAAGTTTTGAGTTTAGGAGGAACTTTACTCCATAACTTGTCCTGCGGCATTGTGCAATGCATTGGTTATCCTGAGCTGACGACATCGTCCTAGCGAGTCAATCAACTCCGGCGAAAAATATTTCAACGTTTCTTCAACTTCCTGTTTATTGCATTCTTTCACGAGACGTCATGTTTCTTAACGAACTTTATCTGCAGTTGCGTACTTTTGTTCTTCTTGTAAAACTCGACATGGGTAGTTTGAGTGACATTTAAATGTGACACAACATATCCCAACATGGCAGTCCTCTCTCACATCCGACCCATGAAGATCCGGGGTAGAATAGGTCTTCAGCAACCCAGGCTTGCTATAAAAGGCGACTATGCTTGTCGTAAGAAGCGACTAACGGGATCGGGTTGTCAGGCACGCTGACTTGGTTGATGCATGTCATCGTATCCCAATTGCGGGGGTCGATGCTCATGATGTCATAACTGGATTGTCTGATCCAGCCTCGATTATTTACAGACCGCCGTCTTATACATGTTGATGGAATATTTGTTATTGTGTAAAATTCTTCTTGTAAAACCCGACATCAGCAGTTTGGTTGACAGTAAAATGTGAACTGGAACTGGTTACTTTGCAAACCCGTGTAGTCTACACTTCCTAACCGGATCGCGCATTGTAGAATGGACGCATCTGGTCGGGCCAAACGTACGTTGGCAAGCTGTGGTACAGTTGTTTATTGTGGTTAGGGTACGTTAGGGTATGTGTCAGTACCTGAGCACCTAGGGTGAAACCTGAAGCACCCTGTACGATACAGACCGCTTCGACTTGACTTTCTAGCCTTGATATGTATTTGGTATCATTGTCTGAAATTACAAATATGGTGACATATTAGCTATGGCGCTGACGTCATTATTTGCTCAAATGTACAAGAATAAATCGTTTTCGCCAAATTGTCTGAAACTAGTGATATCTTTGGCTACCTCTTAAGAAATATTTGATGGTTATGTCAGGTACAGTGTAATACATAGTGTTTGAGTGTACTGGAGGTCTGGAGTGTCTTCCTAGTTCTGTTTCGACCTGATATGTTAGATGCCAATTCCGCGTGGTCGTACCTATAGCTAAATTGCTGGCATTTGGACGTTAAGTTCTTAGTGGATATGCTATCTCCACCGGGGACATGGCACCATGTTCTTTAGACCTGAATCGCCCACAGAGATCATCTGGCACTATCATGACCATGTTCTAAAGAACTGAATCACCCACATAGATCAAGAAAAGCATCAACACACCACCACAACCACCACCACCATCTGCAGCAGATAGGATTTCGACTTTTATTATATTTTATTGTCGGCATGATATCTTCCACTTTCTCCGACTCCGACAACCGTAATTTAGCGGCTTCCAGTCTCCGCAGCATACACACACGAGTGGCTTTATCTATATAGGTCATTAGCCCGCAATTAGTGGACACTGGCGGATGTGGAAAGATAAGGCGGTAAATCGGCTACTGTATGGGCGGAGGGATATTGGGTACAGTGACACCCTGTCATCTGGACAATGTAGACTTCAACGTGTAGTGTATGGTGGCATGCGTGGCACCACGTGTAAACACCCACGATATCTCACACGGTGCCAGCTTATCTCGTGCAGGGGATGAACCTGTTA